AGTTCGGCTACTCTAGGCCACCTGTGTTCTTCCTCTGTTGGGGCTGCTAGAAGAGAACACCACAGACCGAGGTGGTCTACATGTATTTCTCAGGGTTCTGGAGGCTGGGAGGTCCAAGATGGAGGCTCCAGCAGTTTCAGAGTCTGGTGAGGACCACTTTCTGGTTCACAGACAGCATCTTCTGGTTGGGACCTCACATGCCAGACGGGACAAGGGGCCTCTCTGGGGTCTCTATCATAAGGACCCTGATCCATTCCTGACAGTTCCAGCCTCCCGACCTCATCGCCTCCCCAAGGCCCCACCTCCTCAGACCATCACACTGAGGGTTCAGATATGAATATATGAATAATGGGGGGACAGAAGCGTTCAGAGCATCATACCACGCCCTCCAAGGTAAGGTGGCACCAGAGCTAGATGAGGTAAATTCTAGAAATAACATTTTTTTTTCTTTTTGTGACAAATACAGATACATATAGACTGTGCGTGGGGTGGGGGAAGGGGAGGTTGGTGAGGACAGCTGGGAGGCAGCAGCCCAGGGGCTGTTCCTACAGGCTTGGCTCTGAGCAGAGCTTGTCAAGTACAAGCAAGACCTACCCGTTGTGGTGATCCCAGCGGGACACGCCTCATGTGGGGACTGTTTCCAGGTGCTTTCTGTGCCCAAGTTCAGAGTCATGCTTGGCAAAAGCCAGCTAATCTTCCTGGGCAGGAAGGTTCTCCGGGCATGGGGGCAGTGCTGCGGGTGGGTGGCATTTATCCAGCTCCATGGTCTCGCAGGTCCCGGAGGGCCAGAGTGCAGATTCTGCTAAAAGACTGCACTTTGTGCCAGGGGTTGTCTGCGTCCACAAGGCAGCAGCCTGGAGCCAGAGTCCAGAGCTCAGAGCGAAAGCCCTATAGAGATGAAGCTGATCCTTCCGGCTGCCAGTGGCCTGCTTCCCAGGCAGGCTGTGGAAGGAGGTTATGGAAGGGACAGGACTTCCGGTTGACCCTGGAGCAATCGGAGACTCCCCACCCCCTCTGCTGGCCTGGGGATGTACATTTAGTCTAGCACTGCCACAGTAGGAGCGGCTCAGGGGTACAGCCGGAGGGAAGGAGGTGCTGGCTGGTTTGAGACCGAGCCCCGTTATAACTGCTAAGATTCTGGCTGGTCCATGCCTGGGCTTGCGGGGCCCAGGACAAGCTTCATGGTAGTCGCCACCGACCTATCTAGAGTGGCCTGCCTCTTTCTCCCCCCTGCCCTCCCTACGCAGAGCCTGGTTTCTAATTTTACCTGGGAATCTCCCGAGATTTCAAACCAACATGCAACCAGCACAAGTTGTCCATGGCCTTAAAAGATGAGTTTACCCTGCGGTACTGTGTTGCTTTGCTCAGGAGCAGGTGGGGGCTGAGGGGCCCAACAGGGCGCCCATGAACAGTTTCCTCCAGCAGCAGCTTGTGCTGTAGGCAGATGGGCCAGAGACAGCCCTGGCCAGGCCTACACAGAGGAAGTCACCGAACCTGGCTGCGCCACCCACAGCTGCCTCACTGAAGACACCCAGGGACCAGGCAGAACTTCTGCAGGCCCCATGGATGCACCTGATTCTCCAGCTACAGCCAAGCCTTTAAATGATGACAGGTTCAGCTAACACCTAATTGAACCTCCTGAGAAACCCCAATCCAAAAACAGCCCAGCCAAGGTGCTCCTGAAGTCCTGCATCCAGAAGGGGTGAGGGATAATAAATGAGTATTGCTCTGGGTCCTATGTTACACCGCATTAGATAACTAATAGGGGGCCTAGATGCATCTACCCTCCTATACGTTACTTTATTTCTCCTAAAGTACAACATCTCATGTTACAGAAAGGCAGCCTGCTGCCTGGAATTATTCAAGAATGTATCCCAGGGTCAGGGAGCTAATTTATAACCAAGTTGGAATTCACACTCCAGACAGGTCATAGAACTGAGATGCCAGGCACCAGAAACACAGAAACGGAAATGGTAGAGTTGGGGGTCGATCGGAGGGAGACCGAATGGAACAAGTCCGGAAGGGTCATCAAGTTCAGCTGGAAGAAATGAAAGAGCTAAATTCGCAAATCCGGTAGGGTAAGGAGTAAAATCTTACCCAAAGCGAGAAGCGAAACAAGATGAGAAAAATGCAGAACTATGGGATGGTTTGTGATCTTTTAACGGCAGTTGGGAGGGTAGCTGAGAACACAGCGGGAGTGAGTCAAAGTAGAGAGCGTCTGACAAAGCCAGCCTGCTCATTTTCTGTTCCTGGTCACCCTGGCAATAGTACCTCCGCCTCGTGGTGATGATATTTAAAGGAGAAAAGTGCACGCAAATGAAGTAATCTGTGATTTTACTGGTGCTGGTGTTCCCATGTGTCTAGTTTGCTCCACCTGAGTACAAATCTGGGAGGAGTTTTGTGCCAGAAAAAAATGAAACCATAAAAGGGAACAGGGAGAATATGACAAGAGCTTGGGCTTGGAAGGTGTCCCATAAACCCCTGATCTGTTTCTTTCTCCCCATAACCCTGGTAGGAATCAGGTTAAGTAATAAATCTTGCAAGTGTTCATGTCTGATCCATTCTGGCTTTAATGCTGAGGAAAATCCTCTAAGTCAAGGCCCCAGGCTGGCCAGCCAGTCACTCCCAGGGCCTGGGTAAGGGGTCAGAACCCTACCGGTGTCTTGCTGCTTAGACTGCTCTGCCCCCTTTGGCCATTTCTGCAGGGAATTAGGTGGCCCAGAAAGAGTGTATTAGTTTCCTAGGGCTGCCTTGCCATGTTGCTTAAACAGGGTGGCTTAAAAAAAAAAAAAAATTCATTGTCTCCTAGATCTGGAGCCTCAGAGTCCAAAATTAAGGTGTTATCAGAAACATGCTGTCTCTGAAGGCTCTTGTCGGGGATACTTCCCTGACTCTCCCTAGCTTCTCACGGTTTGTTGGAAATCTTGGCTTGCAGTAATAACACTTCAACCTCCACTGTCACATGGCCATCTTCTGTGTGTGTGTCCATGTGTCATCTTATAAGGAACCAGTCATGTTAGATTTGAGACCACTCCAGGGACCTCATCTTTTTTTTTTTTTTAAATTCAATTAGCCAAGGTGTAGTACATCATTAGTTTTTGATATAATGTTCAATGATTATTTGAGTATATCAACCAGTGCTCATCATATCATGTGCCCTCTTTAATGCCCATCACCCAGTTATCCCAACCCCCACCCACCTCCTTTCCACAACCTTCAGTTTGTTTCCCTGGAGTCAAGAGTCTCATATGGTTTGTCTCCCTCTCTGATTTCTTCCCATTCCGTTTCCCCCTCTGTACCCCTGTAGTCCTTTGCACTATTCCTTATGTTCCACATAGAAGTGCAACCATATGATAATTGTGTTTCTCTTATTGACTTATTTCCCTTGTGCCCTCATCTTAACTTGATTATATCTGCAAAGATCCTTCTGCATGTAAGGTCTCCTTTTGAGGCATTGTGTGTTAGGATTCCAGTATAAGAATGTGGTGGGGAGGGGGAGCATTCAACCCGTGACAGAAAGGGAGCAGAATTCAGAGTCAACAAAAATAGATCAAAGGAGAAATGACCCCAAATGAATAGTCCAAGTTCATTCACACTTTATATATACCCACCTGCACTCCTGACAGTCCTTCCTTTGTCTCCTCGTGTCACTTGCAGTCCCCACACCATCACAGTTTATCTAAGAGATAAGGTGCTGCCAGACTTAGAACGAGAAGATATGGCTCACCAGGACTCTCCTGCTGAGTGTGTGACCTCAAGTTGCCCACCTGAGCACCTGATCAGTGACCTACAAACGAATGTCCCTCAAACATATGTCCCTCATGGGTCACCTGAGCTTTGGTGAGGCATTCACAATGGGCAGGAGTTTCCTCAATACAGGAGACAACTACTTCCTAGACAGGTGCTGGGTCCAAGGTACATCTCTGAGCTCCCATCAGTCTGAAACTCAACCTTACAGAAAAGCACAGGCAAAGGGAACACTCATCTATAAATACCTAGGGAACAGTCTGGAAATGGCACACATCCCTCCTGGTCACATTCCACTGTCTAGAACTCAGCTATATGTATGGTCACACTCAGAAGCCAGGTAGGCTGAGAAATGAGGTTTCTAGCTGGGCCATATTTTCCACTAAATATCAGGAGTTTCTTATTAAAAGTAAAAGGGAAGATGGGTATTAGTAGAAAACAGCCGCATACTTTATATACATATTTTTAATATTGTGAACATTTTCTGTGCCACAATCTTTCAAAATATCATTCTAATAAATGCATAGTTTTCAACCACTATTAAACAGTTGTATAATAATTTACATCATTATTTCCCTCTTACTGGACATTTTTGTTAACTTTTTCACAGTATAAATAATGTTGCAAAGAACAAACTCATCTTTGTGCAATTCTTTGATCGTGTCCTTATGATAATCTTCTAAAAGGCTTCTTTGAGGCCCCAGAACTTGGGTATTTGTTACGGGGACCAAATTAGCCTGAACTGCTGATCAAGTCATCTTTGAGAAAAGCAGATCTTCCATGTTCTTGGCACACTCTGCCCCTCCCCCATGCCCCTTTGCTTTGGCCAGCTCTCTTCCTAGGCCCAGAGCTGGTTATCAGCAGCAAGGTACTCGGGAGATAAATTGTTTATAGCCGACGTGCCATTACCGGATATTTTCAGGGAGTTTGATTTGAAGGGCTTGCCTTGAAATTGTGTGCCATGTGTCTCCAAGCCATTGGTATGTACTATTTTTACTTATCAACTGTATTTGCATACTGCTTTTTAATATGCAAATACTTAGCCACACATGATCTCATTGGCCGGATCCAACAGTGTTTTTCTGAAACACAAATCTGATAGTACCACTTCCATCGCTTAAACCCTTTGAAGTCTCCGTGGCACTCTCAGGTTCCAGTCCAAATTCCCCAACATGATTTATAAATCTCTATGACTGCCATTTCACTTAGCTTTTACTGAAGAAGGAAAAAGAAAAAAAAAAAAACACTCAAAATTTAGCTGAATAAAATAATAGCCATTTATTTAGCTCATGATTTTATGAGTCAGTAATTTGGGCTGGGCTCAGCCGGGCAAGTTCTTCTAATGAGCTTTGCTGGGCTCACTCACGCATCTGTGGTCAACAGCAGGTCAGTTCTGCTTCTGAAGATAGTTGACTACAGCCCAGGGATGATCAAGAAGACATGGGGCAAGTGTCTCTCATCACCCAACATGTTATCATGGACTTATAAAATCGGGTCAGTCTCCAAGAAAAGCAAGCAGCTTTTCTGGGAAAGCATTTTTCGAGCCTCTTCTTGATCTTCCTCTTATAGTTGCTAATTTCTCATTGGCTGAAGCAAGTTCCATAGGTGATTCAGATTCAAGGATGAGACGAGAAAAGAGATGTCCCCTGTTGATAAGAGGAAAAGATGATGTGGTCATTTTCACCATCTACCACAACTTCCTTTTCTAGTCTCATCTCTGTGTCCCTGTTTTCTTCTGCACAGACTCTGTTCCAGCCAAACAGAACTGCTTACAGCTCCCCGTCCTGCCTTCTTCTTTTATGCTTCCAAGCTATGGTTCAGGCTAATGCCTTGCCTCCATTATTCACATAGCTGATTCCAACTGGGTCACATCCTAGATGTCCCTTCCTCCAGGAAGCCTTCTCTCAACCCCAAGTATTATTTTACAGTCTTCTCTGTGCTTCCTCTCCCAGCCCTTACCATGCTCTGTTACAAATGTCTGTCTTCTTGTCTATTTCTCCTACAAGACTCTAAGGTACTTGAGGGCAACATTTGTTAACTGTTGCGTATTTGGTACCTAGGGCCAAATAGTGGGAGCACGACAGCTCTTACTGACTAACTGCACGTGAATAAGTGGAAGAAAATAGGTGTAGGAAAGCTTTTTGCACATCCGTAAGCACCGACATTTCATGAGGATGGAATCTGTGAGCTGGAGGGGACCTTAGTTATCTTCTTGTCCATGTATAAACCCTTGGAACATGGCTACTAATTGCTCCTCAGTCCATCAGGCACAGCCATAGAGATGAAAAAGTCTTCCCTTCAGCAGAGCTATCTATTGCTGAACTGTTTTCAGGCTCAAAACTCTCTTTCCAATTGAACCCAAAACTATTTCCTCGTGCCTCGCACCTGTTGTGTGAGACCGTCCGTCTGAAGCCTCAAAGGTAGAAAGTAATCTAGTTGCCACACATCAGGCCTCTTCCTCTGAGATGTAGCAACTGTTGCTCTCCTAGCATGTTCTTATAGCCCTCACCATCCCGCTGGCCCTCCTCGGGACTTGCCCAATACATCTCGGCTTCTCTTGGAAAATGACATCCAGAGCTGGGCAAGATCTTCCCCTGGGATTGAGAGATGCATCTCCCTGTAAACCAGTCATCAAGACCGTGGCGGCAGCCGCGAAGTTGAGGAGTGCTGGGAATCGCAGCCCCCATAGAAATGGAGCTCAGGCGCAAATCAAAATATTAGGATGACATTTCTAAAAAGCACGTTTCATCTGGCACTGGCATGAGGACAACCTGTGTCTTTTTTTTTTTCTTTCTTTCTTTAACCTATTCTTAACATTTGTATCCAGGTCGTGGTCCCCAAAAGTTCAAATTTTCCCAATTTCAAATACATATTTCTGGTAGAAAGTGGCAAGAGATAGTGAAGTGGGTGTCTGTTTATGAACAGACTGTAAGCTTTGGAATGAAGCAAACAGGGATCAGACAACTCGGTCCAAAATGCAGTAGGTGTGTGCATTAAGGAAGGGACTTAAACCCCCCTACGCTGTGCTTTTTCCTCATCACCTCTGGGTTACTGTTAGGATCACATGTGTATTTCAAGCTTGCCAAGTGTCAAGCGGAGTGTATTGGGCTCGTCTTGTAAGAAGACAAAATGGAGACTCCCAGGCATCCCAGAGCTAGTAAAGGGACATGCTGAGCCCTAAAGGCAAGCTTCTTTAGCTCCAGATCCCATCACCCAGTGAACACTCCCGCAGTCTTGGCACCTGCATCTCTACCTTGAGAGAGCGGTGGGTGATTCCTGTCACTAAAGGTGATGGAGTGTTCTGCCCCAGCTCAGTAGCCACAGGGCTCACGTGGTGGCAGGGCACAGCCCTCAGTGGTTCGGGCCTGGCAAAGACTCCACTCAGTAAATACTCCGTGAATCTCTTTGAGGTTCGGCAGCAGTGACCTGTTTTGTTGCTATATTGGCACACTCCCAGAAATAGGTTAGAAAACAGGAAAATTTTTTAAAGACGGGGGTGGGCGGGGGAGAAAACCCACTCTGATGTGTTATTTCGCTAACAGCCTTAACTTTGTAATAAATAAAGACTGCAAATGGGAAGCAAATGCATAAACTGAAAATACGCTGAGTGAATCATGGCACGCGGTACGTACAGTATATAAATATTCATGTTAAATTACCTTTTACTCCGACTCCATGGTTCTCCTGTGTGCACTTAAGGCTGAGTGCTTTCCGTAGGCCTTAGTTACCGACACAAATGCGTGTGACTTTTGTGAGAGCCTGAGGAGTAACTAAGGACTATTAGCACAGGCCTGAATGATGTCGGATCCCAGTGTTAGCCCCAGAAGCTCAAGCACCCTGTCTGCTTTTGGCAAGAGAACAGTAATCCATCTCCTGGTCTTTCCTAGTCAATGGAAACTGAGCTGAGGGAGAAAATCCTTAATCTTAGCAACAGCAGAATCTGGAATTTGAGCTACAGAGCTTAGAGGAAAAAAAATAAAAAGCCTCGTTGAAAAGTTCAAATCTAAGTAATCAGTTTCTGAAAGAGTCTTTTGTGTGAACTGGAGCCGGCCCGCATGGGCAAAGAGGAGTGAGGGCCATTCAGGGAGGTGCCCGAGCTTTCAGGAATGCGGTGCACGGTTGGTTCCCTTCCTGTGGGGAGAAGCATGGCAGCCCCAGAAGGGCTGGTACAGGCTGACACAGCACTCCTTGGGAAAGCCAACAGGGGGAGTGAACGTGCCAGGAGGCTCAGCGGGCTCAGAGGCCAACATTCCCTCCCTTCTTTAGCTCTGGCCTCCCAGTGACCTTGGGGTTAAACTACAGTCAAGTCCAATGGCCATGATAACACTTATCTCATTCCTCTGTGCTGTGTGGTGAGCCCCTTCCCACCAAAGGGAACGTTTTAAATGAGAGCGGTTGGAATTTCTTACCAGGACACGGAAAGAGGTGTTGCAATCTTACCCCCCAAGCCCTCCCGGCTTGTGCCTGCCCAGGAACGCAAAGTGTGTGGAACGTGTAAGACTGTGTGTGGTTGTGTGTGTTCACATCATGCTAGGAAAGTATCTGAACAGAAAAAGGATCCTACACAAATTCTGATGTATATAATGGCAGAATGACTTTAAGGCGTTAAACTTGGGGCGCCTGGGCTGCTCAGTCTGTTAGCAACCAACTTGTGACTCTTGATTTCGGCTCAGGTGAGGATCTCAGGGTCCTGGCATTGAGCCCCCTGTTGGGCTCTGCGCTCAGTGCAGATCCTGCTTGTCCCTTTTCCTCGGTTCCTCCCCCACCCGCATGCTCTCTCTCAAATAAATAAATACATTCTTAAAACAAAACAAAACATGTGAAGCCTAGCTTTCTTCTATGCCTCATGGGTGCAAACTCATTACGTCAGCATTTCCTTCCCATACGAGTATACAGTCCATGAAGTTAAAACTTCCTAAGTATAGCTTTGGGTGTTTGTTCCAGTTAACTCAACAAGCACTTTCAGAACACCTGTGAGGAGGCAGGGACTCTATCCAGGGCCAACACGGCTCGTGCAGAGAAGAACGGAGACCCCGTGTCAGACCAAATTCGGATTCTGGCTCTGCTGCTTGGACCTTTGAGACTTTCGGTAAAAATGCTGAAAGTTGTGATGCCTGTTTCTTCATCCATACAGTGTTGGTAACAGCGCACCGTAGGGTGGATGTGAGGATTCAGCGAAAGAGCATGTCCGCAACCCAGGAGCCTGATGCGTGTTTGCTGGGATTGCATCTCCAGGGCCGCCTGCGTGGAGGGCACAGCCTCGCAGGGAGCTGTTCAGTAGAACAGAGCGTGTCGAGGTGTTGAGGTCTTGAGTGGCGTGTGAACAGAGTTCCAGGGAAAGGCAGACACAGGGAAACTAGAGAGAAGAGCTAACGGGGTGGAGTATGGAAGGTATCCTCCTTCAGGATGGAGGCTCAGCAGGAGCAGGTGGAAGGAGGTGGGAACCTGAGACGTTGTGTCCATCCAAGGCACTCGATTGATGGAGGATTGGGAAATAGTTCTATTTCCTGTTGGTGTTAGAGAATCTTTGCGAAGTATCTCTGGCTCCCTATTTTTGGAGCATTTATGACTGTTTAAGATGAAATATAAAATTAAAAATTAAAAACTTAAAAACCAGTTAAAGAATAGAATAGAATACAATAGAATAGAATAGAATAGAAAATAGATTTCAAGGGAGAGAGCCATGCACTGAATGCCTACATGTCCTTTGCATGTGTGATTTTCTTTCACTTACTCTAAATAACCTCACAAGAAAAGTATTATTACCCCCACCTTAACAAATGTGGAAACTAAGGCTTAGAGAGTTGACACAGCTCATCTAGGTTCACATCATCAGTAAGAGCGGGGAACTGCGGTGCCAACCCCACCTTAATTAAGGAACTTTGGCACTGGGCAGTAGGAAGATAGGCTCCCTTCCCCATGCAAAAGGACTCACCTGTTTTTTGCTTGTCTGTCAATATGTGGAATACTCCTATGAGGTAAGACATAAAATTTACAGAAATCTAGGCACCATGACTGGTTCATGCTCACATCAAAAGCTAAGGCAGAAGGGCCATGTGGAAGGTCCATTAACACCAAGACTGGGATGGACCTATCCCTACGAATCTCTTTGATGAGAGCTCACGTCATCTTCATACACTCTACATCCCACACACTGCCTCCTGGCAAATGGAGTCCCCTTTTCCTGACCCTCCAACAACCCAAATAATCCTTATTCTTTTGAGAACCATTACCTTAGTGATCAGTAGCTTAAATCACATTTTCTTTATATTCACATGCAACCCAAAATGGCAAAGAAAAGATGACAGGAGTTGCAGGAAGTGGGATGGGTTCAAAGAAGTAACTTGAGCATTCCTCAGGACAGGAGAAATGAGTCAGGTTTCTTCTTCTGCCAAAGGAAGCACAAACTCATCATTACGTGGGCATGGGTGAGGACCACATGTATAACCCCTGTTGGGCCCTGCTTCATCTGCTTAGCCCTAAAACACTGCCAACTCTTTCACGTCTGATCTAGAAAATAGAAATACTAAGTGTCACAGTTAGCTTTCCTTAAATACTCTGCACCAGGAACTATGCCCTTAAGGTCAACAAGCCTTAGGTCATCGCATTCTGTAATCAGCTCTACCATGCTGTGAAGTTTGTGCTGGGTATCTTCCCTTTGCCCTCCACCACTGTCCCCACCCTCTTCTACTTTGTTCCCTTGGCCCTGGGAGGGCTGGTCTCTATAGCTTGTAACACCTGCTTTCTTGCCCTCTGGCTTCTCCTTGGGTTGGGCCAATAGGCAGCCTCAGGAGAGCAGGGTTTGGAAGAAAGGAAGCAAAGGAAGGTCAGGTCCTCTCTCTATGAGGCTACTTCTGGTAGACTAAGGTCTTGGCTTTTCTCAAACAGGTCTTTGCTAAGCCTCTCTTCCCCCTTTGAGTTCCTGTCCCTTGTCTCTTCCCTCTTTCCCACTGGCTTACATGTAGCCACAGCTCTGCTATGAACCTGAGTTACCGCACTACCTTGTGTGGCTTCCTAAACCACTTTTATACATTTATAGCTTCCTTTTTTTTTTTTTTTTTTTTGGTAACTAAAACCTGTTTGAATCACCCTAACCTAAGCAGCCTCTATTTCCTGTCAGGATCCTGATATAGGCACCACGATTATACCCATTTTATAGATGGGTCCTCACACTAAGTAAAGCCACATGTCCAAGACCTCATAGTTATCCAGTGGCAGAACTGGATTTCAAAACCAGCCCACCTTCTTAACTGCTGTAGTGGAACAGCAGTAAATAGTTCTGGACAATGCAGGCACACTGGGCATCCTGGGGACGCAGCCTTGTACCTCCTCACGGGAACATGTGGTGGGAAGAATGACACAGGGCAGACGGTTTGCACCCCTGTCAGCCTCGCTGTCAGTCAGAGCTTACCCAAAAGAAAGTGGGCAAAAAACAGACATCCTCACTGGGCTTGCTGTCCCTGCCACTAGACTCTATGATACTGGGGCAGAAAACACCTGCCAGTGCAGGAAGGCTGGGAAGGACCACCAGACACATTGAAATCCTGGCTGGGAATCGTATTCTAGAACCCCATCAACCTTTCTCTTATGGCCCTGGTTGAATTAAGAGAGGATCCCATTGGGGCCAATAGACTAGAACAGACAATGGTTGATGGTTTATTCCAAAAGGAAAATCAGGGCCACATTTGACCACCCCCAACACTGAATTCATTCACTAGACCCTAGGAGAATTCATAGCCAGAACTAAAGATGCCACTTGTATCTGAGCAGGACTGACCTCAGCATGCGAGTTTCTGTCTTCCACCTCAGGAAGCTGCATCATCTTTATTTAACTCTACAACACTGAGCCTCCCTCTGCAGCGTGAGGAATTTATCATCTCAGGCCTCAGATTAAGTGAAAAGAATTTTTTTTAGCTGAAATAGTTATGTATATACATTTTCATAAATCATTTTACCATAAATTAGGAAGAAGTCTACTTCCTCTGCCTAAAGCAAAAAAGATTTTAAGCGACAGTTCTTGACAGTGCCTTCTTCCAAGTAGTTCTGGAACCTCTTGTGCCTATCTTGGGACTCAGCATACTGAATTATGTTGACAGATTATCTCCTGCCCTGGAAAGTGAGGTCCTTATAGGCAGATCCTGTACCCTCTTTATCTCTCTGTCCCTGGCCCAACACAATGCCCAGTGTACAGCAGGCACTCAATACACATTCCAGGAGAACGCACGTGGATGCCCTCAGAACATCCTGGGAGGGCTCCCATCGGTGTGTGTTATGCAATTACGGGTTGACTCATAAGCCTCATCCACGAAGGGAGACACCATCTTTTATTTAATTTTATACCTCCCATGTTTGGAATATCATGACTGCTCAAAATATGTTTTATATGAAAAAAAGAGATGGAGGATACAGCAAGCAAGAAATAAAGCTTCATTGTCTTTGGCCCCCTTACACTGCGTGGACATACTTAGATGGCTCTTTGGGTTGGTGTCAGAAGGTTAGACCCACTGTATGTCCCAGTCATTCCACAGAGGGCTGAATTTCCATCACGGAGTTGCCATAAAGAGAGGACAATGGAATGGAAGGGTCTGATAAGCAGGAGACTAGTGGGGCTGGTCACAAGAGTAACAGCCTCTTCCCTCACCCAAGCCAACTAGTTATTCCTAAGATCTCAGGTCCAGTGCCCCTTCCTACAGGAAACTACGCCCGGTTCTCCAACAGCAGTCGTGTTGTTTTCCTTCAAACACTTCATTCCGTATGTTATTGTACATTCACTGGTGTGATCTCTTTGGCAAGTGCCTGACTCTCCTGAAAGTTCCATCGGTGGCATCTGTTTTGTTCATTATTCTATTCCCAGGACCAAGCATGCTGTCTTCCAATGAGGTGTTCAGTAAATCAGTACTGAATGAATGAATGAGGAGTGAATAAACAAACTGTCACTCTATGCTCAACTCATACTGGACCACATTTTCTCATTCCTGATCCAATGTTCTTTCTCCCAGTACCAGCCATTTTAAATATTGTCTTTTATGTGTATGTAGGAATTGAGGTTTTCCGCGAACCAATCACTCTGACCCGCCCTCTCATCTGTTCACATGGGTGCTGTCCCTGCAGGTGGCCTATCCAACATCTTGGCTACCTCATAAAAGAAAGCTGGAAACTCTAACCCAGTGTTTGTTTGTTTGTTTCTAAACCAGTGATTTTTAAACATGCTTTCTGTAGAAGACCACTTTTAAAATCTATATCCAACAAACTGTAGTATATCCTAACAATGGAATATTATTCCGTGATAACAAGAAATGAGCTATCAAGCCACGAAAAGACATGGAAGAAACTTCAGTGCAAACTGCTAATAAAAGAAGCCAATCTGAGAAGCCTACATGTTGTACAACTGCAATGACAGAACACTGGGAAAACTGTGGGGACAGTAAAAGCTCAGTGGAATCCAGGAGCTTAGGGAGAGTTGAACAGATGAAGCACAGGACATTCTTAGGACAGTGAAACTACTGTCTCTGACCCTGTCATGTGCATACATGGCATTACGGGTTTGCCAAAACTCATAGAATGTCTAAGGAATGAACCCTGATTTAATCGATGGACCTTAATAATAAAGACTCAGTATTAGTTCATCAATTTTAACAAATGTACTACACTAAAGGAAGAGAAATAAAAGAGAAAAAATAAAATAAAAGAGAAAACCCTGGAGTGGAGAGGAAAAGGGAAACATGGGAACACTGTAATTTCTGCTCAATGTCTGTCCCTATAAATCGAGAAGTGCTCTAAAAAGTCCACTACTTTTTTAAAAAATCTGTATCCTAGCTGGTCACTCAACACATAAGACTAGATGGGTCCTAGCTGAAGTAGGAGTGCAGTCCTTCCCACTTTCTATCTACAAACTCATCTCAGACCTCACTTTCCTCCTTGTGGGTCCCTGAGATACTACTGTGGCTATGCAATTACATGAAACCTTCCGTTGTTTTGCCTAACCCCCCAGCTCCCATCCCCACCCCCGCACCCCAAGTATGCCCTAAATAGTCTGACCTGATTCCCTGCTCTGTAGTCCAAGCTACTGTTTTGCAGTCCAAGCTACTGCTCAGTAGCCCATGACTATATTAGAAAGGCAGGTGGTCTCCTTGTGGCTTCTCATGGACTTTAGCACAATTTACATGATTGAAACACTACTCTTCCCACTTTGGCATTTCCATTGCAGTGGCTGAGAAATCCCAGTTTCGGCCCAGGCATCTCCCACAAATTTCTACATCGGACTCGTGGGTATGAGAGACCGTGGAGGAGTACAGACAGGACAGAACAGATTTTGAACTGGGTATATGTGAGGCCAGACGGTTTTCATATTCCAAAGTCACAGCCAAGACTCCTCAGCAGTCCTACTTATAAACACACCCCAACTGCTAACAAAGAATCCAACAGAGAACTCAACAACCCCTTGAAGGCAAACCAGAACCTGTTAACTAAAAGTGGTGACACTACAATTACTGGCAAATGTTTGCTGGGCAGAAGAGGAGTCTGTGAAATGCTGCAGGGCACGGAGACAGTCAGGAGCCAGTTCCACCAATTAATGGAGTGCTTCCAGTAGCAGTTGTGTCTGGGAGAGTTTCTGAAATAAGCCCTGGCTGCACCAGCTGAGGTCCCTGGGAAGGGGGGAGCAAACACTCTCTCCAGCAGCAGGGAGGCAAGAAGCACAGCATCAGCATCGCCATGGCTACCCAGCAGAGCCTGCCTCAAAGCCTTTCAGGAATCTCTGCTATTTGTGGAAACTGGATTGCATTCCCCAAAGACCAGCATTCCTCCACACCATGCACTTTCTGCGGCTGCTTCTCTTTACTTTCTCTCACTCCAATTAAAGAGGCAAGAGTGGACCCTTGTCCTCCACTCATGCTGGCGACCTTTCATGACACTCACCTGGAATGCCCCCATCAGAGGCCATACATCGCAGAGTTGATCCCAGCAATTTTCATTCCCATATATTCACAGGCCATCATGTGAAACACCATTAGCATACTCTTGAACTCCTAATGGGATTGGAGGAAGAAAAAAAAAAAATAGGTCCTCATTGATGTGACCAATGTGCCAATTAGGGACTGAGGTCTTTCTTCTTTTGCGTTTCTGCATTGTCATCTGAACACAATCTCAGGCGTAGGTGAGTGACAAGACAATGTAATTGCTAGTATATTTGCCACAAAGAACACCCAGTTAGAACCTTCCCACTGGGGCCAGCAGTGGATGTTAGTCTGCATTTTTTCAAATAAAATAGGGGAAATGTGTAAATTGGTTAAGAGTTTTGGGAAAACAATAGAAACTGAATAGAACCGACCCTCTCAAGTCACCTAACAAAACAAAACAAAAAACATCCACAGGAGTCTGTGAGGTTTCCTGTTCAAATGTCCCTAATGGGGCACCTGGGTAGCTCAGATGGTTAAGCATCTGCCTTCAGCTCAAGTCATGATGCTGGAGTCCCGGGATCTGGATGGAGCTGTCCATCTCCCCACATCAGATTCTCTGATCAAAGGGGAGTCTGCTTCTCCTTCTCCCTCTGTTCCTCCTCTGCTCATACTTGCTCACTCTCTCTCTCAAATAAATAAAATCTTTAAAACAAGCAAAAAAAAAAAAAAAAAGTCCCTAATGTTGTCTGTGCCCACACATTTTCTTTTCTGGCCACTATATCTCTATTATTCCAGAAGAGACACCATTTTATTTTTAGGGTAGTGTCTCCAACATTGCTTCTTTTGCAACCCTGACCCAAATATGCACTTCTAGTGGGATATGCCAATAATCATATCCTAATTACTTAGCCACAGGATGGACATCTCACCAAAAGCAGACCAATCAGAGTTCTTTCTAGGAGCATGCAGAATAGAACTGAAGGGAAAAGACCTTTTTCCCTTCGCTGGGAAACTGAAAAAGTGATTTCTGGAGCTGAGGACAGGTGTAGCTCCAGGAAAAGCTTTTATCTAAAACAATGAAGAAGACATGCAGAGAAAAGCAGACATGATAGGGAGAACCCTGTGGACATTCAAGTCCTTGGTTTAAGGTACATGGGGTAGACTTGAATCATGTCTCCTTTTATCCACAACCATCATGAATCATCTGGCCCCAGTTATGCCTCATGAGGGATATCAGAAACGAGCAGAAGAACCATCAAGTTGAGCCCAGCCCAAAATGACAGTACAAAGAGTTATGAGCAAATGAAAGGTTGGCTGTTTATTTCAGCAAGTTTTAGCATGGTTTGTTGTTCTACAATGAATAACTTGTGGGTACCTGGGACCTTCCTGATACCATGTAAAGAAGGTGACAGTAGGACAAGAAACCATGTAGAAAGAAGAACCCATGTATCTCAAAGATCCCAGCTGTCCCAGCCAGCTGGCTAAGGTCACAGATACAACACTAAACCCAGCGGACACCACATGGAGCATATGTGAATCTCACACATGAGTTGCCAATCCACAGACTCATAAGCACACAGATGTTTATTTAAACTAAAACTTTAGAAGACACTCAGTTTTGGAATGGTTTGTTATTTAGCAAAAGCTAACCTCTCTAACTTTCTTGAAACCACTCATTTTTGCCTTTCTCCTGAAACCACCTGTCTTCCAGATTTCCCCCAATCTGCTGTGCAAGATTGTTCAGTGCATTCCTAATATCAAATCACTCTTCTTTCCTTGACTGAAAAATCTTGATTTTGTGTAGGGAGGCAATGTATCACCTCTAAATGCTCTACCCATTTCCCTTGCAGCTAGATATGGTTATGTGACACATCTGAAGCCTTTAAGAAGGATATGACAATTGAGGAGGCAGACCACATCTCATCCACCTTCCACCTTCCTTATTAGAATACAGATGTGATCACTGGAGCCACAGCAGCTCTTTTGAGATCGTGGGTTTAAAAAAAGAGAGGAGAGAGAGAGAGAGAGAGAGAGAGAGAATATAAAAAAGAATCACAGAGATGCCATACCTGATTTTGTTGAAGAAAAAGAAAAAAATGGTCCTAAGACACCTGCTTAAAGTGAGCTGTTTCACACAGCTCAGTTAGATCTTCGGAGAAATGGGTTAGATATCTGAAACTGGTGATGGAAAGAGTCCTGATCAGTGATGCGGTCTTCCCCTGGGGAGTCCTGTGGTCACCTCTGCATGTCATACCATAGGATGCAAGATGCACTGCTTCCCCTTTCTCTCTGGCTCCCATTTAAACACAAAGGCATTTTCCTCTTTCACCTTAAAATAGATAAGATAAGTAGATGTTTTCAAAAAGCATTTATTTAAAACCCAAAGAAAAACTCAAAGAAAATAACTACAAGAAATATAAACAGCATGAAATTGCCCTGTTCCCATCACATTGGATCCTAAAATCACCAGTTAAGCTCTATGGATCCAACTCCAGTCTCTTAATAAGGATAGTGGTTCTCAAAGAGGAGTCACCAAATCAGAAGCAACAGCATTACCTGAGAACTTGTCAGAGATGCAAATTCCCAGGCCCCACCCCAAACCTACCTACTAATCCTGAGCTCTGGGGGCGGGGCTATCCGTAAGTGTTTGAACAACACCTTCCGGTGATTCTGAGGTAGTCAGTGTTTTGAAGCCACTACTTTATGATAAATATTTGCCAACATAGTAAGACAAGAAGCTCCCCACCTTTTCTTTAGGGTAAAGCCTAGGGTTTGATTCAAAGAGAATTTGGTGTCATATTGTGATCCTGCTGTATTAGCTGTGACATCTGGGGCCACATCTGATTAACCTGTGGTCTTCATTTGGTCCACAGATAAAATGCAATCATACTTTTTAGGATTGTTTAAGATGAAATGAGACCTACAAAATGCCTGCCCATAACCTGGCTCAAGTCAGCTATTAAATAAAGTCAGCTGACTCTCTTCACAAAGTCTGCATCTCAGTCCTGTTGCCACAGCTCAGTCCAGCAGCAAATGTCTGGTATATGCACCCAAATTACTTTCAAATATAAAAAATAAGTTCCCCAAGTCCAGTTCAAATCTCCCAATACTTCTAAATACACCCCCTTCAGCGAGGTGTCAAGATGGAGAGTCCTCGTTGTATTTTAACTGATTTGCTAGAATGACTGGCTCTAGTCAGGCCCCGGTGGTCTGGCCTTTCCAGACTGAGGCCAGAGGAACTGCCACCCCCTAGGGCATCTCTGGCCTCCTCACTTCCAGGATCCTTCCTTCAGTGTCCTTCTTTTCGATGAACCCTAAATGACCTTTAACCATATCCTAAATACTCAGAGAGTTAATCATACTCAGAAACAATCATCTGCTCAGAGGAACCAATTCAGAAACAGCTGAGTGCAAGATAGACCCTTGACCATAGTTTTTTGTTTGTTTGTTTTGGGTTTACTGTTTTGAACAAGGAATCTATATCCGTGATTAAAAGATTCAAATATTATAAAAGAGGAGATTATGCAAAGTTATTCTCTTTTGTACTGCTGGCACTTAGATCCCTACCCAGAGACAACTATGCTTACCAGCTTTTTGGATGAACTTTCAGAAATAGTCTATATATGGAAAAATCATGGAAAAAAAACTATATATATATATATATATATATATATATATAGTGAGATATATATGTGTGTGTGTACATATGCACATGTACACACACATACATTACCCTCTCTGTTTTCCACAGAATGTAATATATTATACACACTGTCTGCACCAAGAATATGGAAATCATGGGCAGAGGGAGATTAATAAGAGACCTTCATGATCTTCGGAGTCCTATATGGGGAAGCCAGAGAGTTTGGATGATATCATCGGCAACATAGAAAAATCTTATCCTGTGTGTCCTGTGTCTCTGGCTACAGGCAGACACTCTCTTGATGACTGTATCCATGTATGCAGAAGTGTGAATACCTGTGTGCCTTACTCTGCAAACACACAAACAGGACCACACCCATCTTTTGGGATCACTGCTCTCTGTTACACCCACCTGGTCACTCATCAGGCCTAGACTGGTCTTCCAGCCCCTGGGATGAATTGCTGCTAGAAGGCCCTGTACTGACTTGCTCCCTGTTCACTTTTCTCACACCCAAGACTGTGTAGCAACATCCAATTTACAGGGGTATTCTTACTTGACACTGCCCAAGCCTTAAAGCCCAGTCTGCCTAACGGCATATATCCTCCTCCTGCATTCCGGACACTAGCTAACAAAAACTGATGGGATCTTAAACTGTTTCTCCCCCTATTTACAGATGGGAAAAATGGGACCCAGGCCTAGGGCCAGGGAAATCCCTAAAGGATCGTGGATAGCAGTACACCCTAGAATCAGGACTCTGGGATCAGCTTGGGCAAAGAGACTTTGGATGTCTAACAGTAGTAAGTTCTAATCCTGGGTTCACTACAGGAGACCTGTGTTTTCCTCATTCTGAGCCCTTGCTGGAAGACCTGTAAGGTGTGATAATAGTACTTACATATAGAATAATTAGGGTTATAAAACAAATATATGCAAAACACCAAATAATGTATACTACAGAATAAGCATTTGCCAAATTTTAAGTGGTGCTCCCACATTTCTTAGAGGTTCACCCTCTGAGCTCTAGCTTGCTTTCCTATTTTGTAAACATTATTCAAATATATAGAGTAGCTCCTGCATGGGGGATACAAAGATGATCAAGACAGTTCCTCTGTCCTTGAGAAGTGAAGGGGTGGCAGAGAAACCTAGCTAGTTCCCACACTCCAGGGAAAGCTTCCTTCTGTGGAGGTGTGATGAGGCACACTGGGAACACAGAATACTTATCTACCTGCTGTTGACAGAATAAAGGGCAGGGTGTGTGTCTCTGCTGGACCAAGGACAAGCATGGGGCGAAAGGGAAATACCCATTTCCAGCCATATTTCCTCAACCATGCCCACAGATCCCACAGAGTTACTCAATGGCACCCCAGCATCTCTCAGTTTTTTTCCAAATCCTATAGCCAGCGCTGTGGGCACTTTCATTTCCGGGCTTCCAGATGCACAGGAACACAAGAGTCTCCCTCCTCTGCAATAAGGCATGTCCTTCCACCTTTCACACTCAGGCCCCTGCACGACCTCTAGATGAAGACTCCGGAGAAATAAGCCTCAGAGGGTAATTTGTCAAGCGCGCCATTCGGCAACAGGGCAGGGAATCTTTCCTGACTTCTGCAGATAGGAGCTCACATCACAGCATGAAATTTGTTTACCCTTATCTTTGCACACAAGAACAAATTATCCCACCCTTGTTATAAATCCAGCAGCCCTGCATCTGTGAGCAGGTTTCCACGTAAATCTCCGGCAAACGCTCCTTGGCTGACTGTTCACTTTGCTGCCTTTCCCTGGCCCCAGCTCATGGGACTGTTAGTCTCACCAGTGGACACCCTGGTTTTCTTCTGTAGAGATAACAGAAGAAAAGAAAGAGAGCAGCCAGGGTCACGTTTGCCACAAAAACCCCACCACCCACAGCAGAGCAGGTATCCTCTCTCCCAGCTGAACTGCCGTGGCTCCATGGGCCAGAAAGATCCAACAAGCCACAGGGAGATCCTGGGAGGCCAGAACTTACCAGCCTAGAGGGCCCCTTGCAGACTCACTCTGTTCCAGACAGTTAGTATGAACAGATGGTCCCGAGTCAGGCGAGGAATCTGTCCAAGTGGATTTTAAATGTCCTCAGCAGTCATTTAAATAATGTGGGTCATGCAGGGGAAGGGGACCCCTCCAGACAGCTAAGAGATAGGTGCCCATCAGAGTAAACATCCTTGGGCTGGATCCTTAGACCTCAAAGAAAATAGGATGGCTTAGTAGAAAAAAAAAAAAAAAGATATTAACAACAGCAACAATAGCTACAGAGCCCTCACCTTACAGCGCAGGGCTCCATGGGGCTCAGGGTTAGGGTCCCTGAGTGTAATTCTCTGGCGTTACCCCTCCAGGTGTATGACCCCGCAGTGCCCATGGTAGTTCACAGTAGAAGAGGGGCGCTGTTCAAAGTAGGGACCTGAAGCACAGAAAGGTTAAGTGAGATGTTCAGGGACACACAGAAGTAAGAGGTAAGAGCTTGATTCAACAGGCGGTCAGACTTCAGAGCCTATGTTCTAAGATAGTGCTTCCTACGTGCTAACACACACAAGAAGCTTCTGGTGACCTTGCTCAGATGTAGATTCTGACAGATCAAAGTAAGGGCCTGAGATCCTGTCTTTCCCACAAGCTTGGCTCCCAGGTGAGGCCCAGGTGAGGCCCATGAGGCCAGGTCAAAGACCACACTTGAAGGGAGGGCAGTCCAGCCCAGCACTATAAAGTGGAAGGGGAGTGCCTCTGTTGGCCTGCCTACTCTTGTTACTTGTCCAAAGAGAAGGAAGAACAAAAATCGGGAGTGAGCTCCTAGAAATGTTGTAACTATTTGACAGTTATTTTATATCTGCCAAATCCAGTAACAAAAGTTAAGGTTTGTACAACATTTTATTATTTTTACTTCATCTAGTAATTTATATCAATGTTGTTTTATAAAGGTATTGCACACAAACAGTTAGAAATTATAAACAAAACCAAAAAAACAAAACAAACAGCCTAGTCCTGCCCCACAGAAAATTTGAAAATCACTTCTCAACACTACTACTCTGTACTGATTCCCTCACAAATGGAGAGTCTGGGACCAGGGGGTGTATGAGTGTCTGTACCAACTCTGTTCCACTTCCTATAGGTTCCATTTTCTTGTGGTTTTGAGGCAGTTCTGGTATATCTAGCCCCACCTGTGTAGGAATGCTCCCATCCATAAAACCCCTCACGTAATGTGAATTCTGTTCTGTCCCTTCCTGGTTTGGGAACCTCTGCCAATTCACTCAGCCCCTCTGAGGCTCCTTTTCTTCCTTTGTAGAATAAAGCCCGCCTACCCCATGTAAACAAGGGTATAAAGCATGCACAGGGCTTAGCACAACACTTAGATCACTAGCAATCAGTAAAGAGCAGATACAATCATCATTGGGGGGGGGAACTGCAATAAATAAATTCATACCAGGCAATCATTGACTCCATCTGCATTTTCGAGAAAATGCTCCTGACACTCTCCTAGGCATTGGGAAGGCAAGAGGGTGCGTTTCTCTCAACAAACCGGAATTAATTTCTTTTCAACTTAGAAAAGTTGGCACCCAATTTCTCACCAAAGCCTGCAACAAAAGTGAAATTTTAATCCTGACCACTAGGCAAGAACAGTGCCCCAAGGCACTGCAAGATGTCTGATCATCAAGCAAAAATGTAATTATTTTCATTCGGCTGCACTGTAGAAACTTAGGCAGTGGGTGAACTAACACAGTTTAGAAAGATTTTCAATAACAAGGAATAAAACAAGGCAGGTTTTATTTAACCTTCAGTTAAGCAGAAAGCCAGCTAAGGAGAGATGGTCCAGGTGGAGTGTTCCTAGTTAAGGGCTGTTAGATTCTGCCTGTAACTCATTTACATAATGACCCAGGAGGCAAGAGCCACTGGGGTTTGTGGACAATGGAAGGAAAGCAGCTGAGGACACTATTGGTAAATGTTGATCAAGTCCTTGACTCTTTGGGGAAGGAATTTGTAAATCACTAGGTGAAGGAAATTTGCCAGGTGGGAACAGGAATCTTTCTGACCTCACCAAAATGGCAGACTTCTTCATGCTCAGGTTTTGTTGGTGTCGTGTTTAAGTGCTTACAGGGATGTAATGATTCAGTACAGCACACTGAAATCCATGGTTGGCATGTCCCCAAAGGTCTAATGACTCAGACCCTCCCTCAGTAATAAATTCATTTGTCAAATTAGTCAGGGTCCCAGGTTGTTTCTTTCTCCCTCTCCCTGGGTTATCTAGATACAGAGAGTTCAGGTTCCTTTTCCCTATGGGGCCATCTTCTATCTATCTGTCTCTGAAATCAGTATGGGTGTGCTGAAGTCTAAGACTGGTCTGATACCCTTGAGCTAGATGCTCTGGTGGAAGCCCAGAGGAGGCTTCCTTCCCAGAGGAGGAAGCCCTAGAGGAGGAGGAAGAGGAGAAAGAAACATCCTAAGACTGGTCTGATACCCTTGAGCTAGATGCTCTGGTGGAAGCCCAGAAGAGGCTTCCTTCCCAGAGGAGGAAGTCCTAGAGGAGGAGGAAGAGGAGAAAGAAACAGTTAATGGCTGCACTTTGCCTTACCAAGAAGCTCCTTCCTGTTGTTGGTTACATCAGTGGGAAAATCGGTGGCTGGAACACCAGGGACCTCTGTCCAGTGGGGCTGGGTCCATATCCTGTTGATTGGCTGATTTGCCACTTTACTTGTTTCACTTTCTTCAGCTCTAAAATGGGTATTAGAATCATAACAGAACCTGCCCTGTGAGGTATAGGAAGGGTCAACCAGGTAATGTTTACAAATAGCAAGGTACCTAGCACAGAATGAATTCTCCTGCTATCTCAAGAGACTAGACTTTATCTTTCTGCTGGTTCACAGTGAAGAGTAGCATAATATGCCACCCCAAAAGGCGTTGCTTTGGCACATGGATTAATTTGAGTTGAAGGCAACTGAGAAGAAGCAGATACAAGAAAAGCTCTCTGTCCTTCCCCCTCTGCCTGAAGACAGAACATAAATAAATACCCCTTGTTAAGGTGCCCCCCTTCCACACTTCCTGTACCATTGGAGATAAGATGGCATAGAGAAAATTTCCATTAGTTTACCATTAGTTTCCCCATATATTTGACTTCCTACAATTTGCTTTCCCTAGAAGTTCAAAGCCCTTTGTCTTGTCACTTCTCTACAAAATTACTGTACTTTGCTAAAATGCAAAAAAGCCCAAGTTGCAACCACACTTTTGATCTACTCATCACCAAGGGCTCCTCTATATGTGTGTGATACACACATTAATAAGCTTTTATTTGTTTTTCTCTTGTTAATCTGTCATTTGCTAATCTAATTTGAGGACTCCAGCCAATGAACCTAAGACAGAGAAAAACTGGTTCCTCCCCTACAAGAGCTATATGTACAGAGTGATTATAGCTTCTCTAATTTGCAAAAGCTTGGTAAACATAACTTATATACTTATCCTTTTGGTTCAGTCTCTAAATATCCCTTGTCTGGCATCTCTAACTGCTTTTAGGATTCTTAAGACAAAGGCTTAATTCTATGCATTCATTAATCCATTCCTTAAAAAACGCTTACTGAACATCTCCTAAGCTGTTCAGTAGATGCTAGTTGGTGTGATGGAGCCCTGAGCATCCAGATGGCAAGGAGCAGGTTTTGGCCCCTTTGCACAGCAAATGAGAACGGTGGATGGCACAAAGTAGGCATTCAGTAAGGATGCCTGGTACAGGACCGGCAGACGCAGTTGCTGAGTGATATGAGCAGTGGTGCTCATTCACCCCCAGTCACAGAGTCCAGGGCAGGGCTAGCCCACGATTAAGTCCTCCCCGTGTAGAGGGAGGCGTCCATCCCATCCTCTGCTCCCGCAATCTCATCAGATAACTCATTCACTCAAGCGGCCATCAACCCCCAATGCCATGAACTTTAGCAAAATCCTTTCTTGATATCTGTTCCCCTTAATAGGTCCTTACTGACTTCCTTTTTTTCTTTTTTTTCCTTTTCTGTCCCCCCCCAACCCACTTTACTCCATCAACTTCTTTCTGGTTCCACTCTACACCTTAGTTTTGAGAACGGAACACATACTTGAAACTCAAAATCACTTTTTGAAGAAATGCTTCTCCTGAGTCACAAAAATGAGAATATCAGGCTAATCCAAAGAAGGGTCTGTTTACTCCATGCATAATTGTTAAGCTTCTACCACGTGTAGGACACTATAAAGGACAAAGGGGATGTAACAGTAACACATCAGTCCGTCCTTCTTGAGAGATGGGCAGTGATGAAAGAAGCAAATGCAATCACTATTGTTATAAATGTTTCATAGGAAACGAATGTGCTGAGGAAGGGCGAGGTGGGTAATAAGCTCGTTAGCAAAACCCCCTCTAAGGACTTCATTGGAGGCATAAATAATAGAGAGTTTAACTTTGTGAAGACTGGAATTCCAGAACACTCCAGACCCAGAGAATGGACATATCAAGGTCTGAGGTTATCACATGCTTGGTGTGGACAGGAAACCAAGGACTGGCGCAGCTGGGCCATACAGAGTGCACAACCGGGAAACTGGGAGAACATGAGGCCAAGAGGGTAGTGAGGAGTCAGATTCATGAATGAATCGAAGATGGAAGGAATGTGGCATATGAAGACTAAGGAACTCAGCCATATTGGTTACTGTCTGGCCCAGCTGGGTGGCTGGAGGTCACCCCTACTCCATGGCACTATCTTGTGTCTGATTCTTGACTCTGCAAATCACTATTTGTGTTGTCATGGGCAAGATGCTTATGGATACCGATAATAAAGCCCAGCTCGCGGGTGAGGCTTAGATGAGTAAATACACATAAAGCTCTTGGAATGGTGTTATTTATAGGAAGCACTTCACAGATGTTACCTGCTACTATCTTAGTTGCTTATTACCACTTGCATGAATTCTTCATCATCTGAGGTATAATCCTTAAGTTCGAAGACTCAGAAACCCACCTCTGCCAACCCACGGAAAGTGGTGGGACTTCAGTGGGACTGAAGCATAAAGCCAGGCCCCCACCTCTCTTGCTGACTGACAAAAAGAAATATGATTATCAGGTCAATTCGAACTCTTTATAAGCATGTCTTCTATGAGTCCCCAAACACCTCTCAGGAGGTCACTTCATCGGTAGGGAGTATAACACATGAGGTAATGTTAATGGTGGATGTCCTAGATCTCTAAAATCATGTTTTAACCCAAGAGATCTAAGATATTACAATTTTAAAGTGAAATCACTTGGAAACAATTAGTAAGATACTTTGCTTTCCTACCATATTGTAAAATTGTTGTGCATTTTACATTTACAACACATTTCGTTTCAGACTGGCTACAGTTCAGGTGCTTAACAGCCACAAAAAATTAGTGGCTACCATATTGAACACGGCAGAACTATAATTTCTTGGTGAATTTAGCTGTGTTAACCCGGCCTCCATTTCTTAACCCCTCTGAAATTCAACTATCTAGGATAGTTCCTGGCACACCACAGGCATGTGGTAAATTTTTAAAGTAATTTT